GCGCATTCTGCATACGCCATCGAAGAGGCGGTCAGGCAGTGCGACCAGCAGTGCCGTTGCGCAAGCATCATTCAACGGTAATTCTGAGCGTCATGACGTCATTACTTGAGCATCAATAAAGCACGGCACTGTTATTGTTTTAATACAATGCATAAATTATTCGCAATTCATACGTATGTATGTTTGTATGTATGTAGTTTGGCGGTTTTATTAAAGGCCGACCAGGTGCGGAGCCTTTTTGTTTATTCGACAAATTGATGTGTGTTGCATTTTTTTTGTTTATTAAAGTATGAGTCTGTATACACTTACAATTGCACATACATATATGCATAAATATAATATTGAAATATATATATTATAAACATATACAAATTATTCTGCAGGCGAACTTTTATGAGTTCAAAGATTTATTTTTATTTATTTATTTTTACTATTATTTTTCATTTTTCTCTCGTTTTCTTCTTTTTCTTTCTTGTATGTAACAAATTCTGGCTAATTTATTAGTAAGCACACATCAATACGGCTGTGGTCGACGCACGAAGGCATAAACACGGAAACAGTGTAGCGCCGCGTCTTGCCGTCGCTGTGTGAAGTGAGCTTCGCTGTGTGGCATGTTAGTAAAGCTCAGATATATATATATACAATTTATATACAACAATCGCTTGCATATTTGAATGGAAAATCGTGAAAATTAAAACAAAATTATAAACATTGAATATATTAGCTTGTGTTTACAATGTTGTTGCCATTTTAATTGGAATTTCTATTTATTATTTCTTTACTTTTTTTTTCTTTATTTTTTTTTTTTACAAAATTTGTATCAAAAGTATTTATTGTAAGAACAATAATGAATAGGTTCGCAACACCACAATTAAGTTCATATACCTACATATGTATGTGTAAGTGTATTGATGGGTATACATATATGTATGTAGAATTTTACGACTTGGCGCCAAATTAATATCCTTCTTCTAGCAACAAAAATCTGTAAAAATATAAATTCAGGGCAATAGATATACTCGTATGTACATATGTATTTCATGAACGGAAGTAAATTTCCATTTTTCAAATAGTTTATTATATATTTTTTGTTTATTATTATTTTTTTTTGTATTTATTTCTTTCTTCTTTGCTACTTTTCTCTTTATTTCTAAGGGTTTTAATTAATTTATATATGAGATCTACTGAAAAATAATTCATTATTCTTGCATTATTCGGAAGGCTTTGTTTATCACAGCTGGAATTGTCCAATTTAAGTGAAATAAGAATCGTTTTTTTTTTTTTTTGGTATCTTTTTGCCATTTTGATGGTAACAGCATCGTGCCTCTCTCTCTCTCTCTCTAATATCTTCATTGGCAAAAGGAGAGACAATCGATTTTCAAAGGCTTCGTTTGAGTCCCGTTCTTAACTAACCAAATCATTCGTCTTAGATAGGAACATATTGTAATCGCATTGTGTAAGGTCTAGGTTATAAGGCGGATGCATAAAAACCTCCCAACCAAGCTCTTCAGACGGTCCAATCGCTAACAGTAAGGCCCTGAGTTTGAAGCTCAACCATAGGGAAGCAGCTGTTAGTGGATGAGTTCTTGCCTATTTCATCAGAAAAAATTCCTAACAATAGGTCTTCTATGCCGCGGAGCAACTTTCATTGGTTTGTAACCTTCGAATCTACTGTTAGGAGGCTTCTTCTAATTTTTGAGCAACGGCACATTTCTTTGCATTAGCTATTTCTTGAGACACTCCTTTTCCTATACGATGTACCCAAAGTCTATTTTTACTTTTCTTACAATGATATTTGTTGCTGCAATTTACTTATTTTCAGAAAATTTTAATTCTATAGTAAAGTTTTTTTTATTATTATTCCAAACCTTGAGCTTTTATGAGCGAAAGGCTATAAAAAAAGTTCAATATTGTTTTTGTTGTGGGTTGTTTATTCTATAAATTCCATTTCAAGCCACCATTGTCGGCCTGTAGAACTCACGCACCCATTCACAGTTATAGGCAAGGAGACTAGGGGCGAAGTAAGCCTAGTCCTTTCATTCACGCAGACTTCTGCCGCCACAAAAAGTGCAGGCAAACGCACAAATGAGTCAAAATCTGGAGGCACAGGCAACCGGAAATAAAAAAACACTCTCATAAGTAAACATTTGAACGTATGTATGTATGTATGTATGTTTGCATGATTGGAAAACAAAAATTATGCGGCAGAAGACGAAACGTAAATAAAATAACAAAAAGCGTACACCAAACTCTGCGAAAGTGCGTAGGGTCCACTGGTGAAGTAAACCAAAAAAAAAAAAAAAAAAAAAAAAAAAAAAAAAAAAAAAAAAAAAAAAAAAAAAACACCAACCCAAGCCAAGGATTGAGACTACACTAAAAAGATAGGAATAAAATATGAGTGCAAAGAAAATACGAAAATAAAATAATAATAATACATGACACGTGCTTCAACAATACCCACCGCCCACCGCACACGCCTGCACATGTTTGGTCACATTTTCGTGGTCTACTTTGTCATTTCCCCAAATACAGGCATATGGATGTGTGTGTGTGTAAGCTCCCTGGCTGCTGTTACCATGAATCCTTTTCGTTGCCGAACTATGCTCTCCCTCCCGCAAACTGCTGACGTAGATTCTCAAGTATTTGCGATTAAAATCGAGCATTAATAAGTATTAGACACGCAATTCGATAAGAGGCACGTTACATAAGTGCCCACGCACATCCGAGTAACAAAAATTGAATTAGGTTTTGGGCGCCCTTCAGCACTTTTGAACGTGATTAGTGAGCAGCGCAGAGAGTGAGTTTCCCTAAAAATTGTTCTCTTTCTATTTTTATTGCCTCTTTTTTGATTATAATGTACAGTTATTATCTTTAATAAGAATTCAGCGCATGTTTTCCTATTATTATTCAAGATAGAGTATCGAGAATGTTTATAATGTTGCCACATTTACTCATTAGAAATATTTCATATTGTCGTCTATGCAATGTTGCCCAATTTCATACAACTAGCATAACTTTGGTTTGTAAAAAATTATTCAATCTAATCAATGACGGTAAATTTTCGCACGAATTTCCAAGTGTTTCGGTGCTCAAAGTTATCAACATAGCATTGCCACTTTTTATGTGCAACGCCTTAAAGTAGACTAGGCGCTGTTGCCAATTTTCTGAACAACCATTAGTTGCAGCGTGTATTTTTCCTTTCTGAACAATCAATTTTCTTCACAGAAAATACCTTTCATATAATATTCATTTTATTTTTTTGTTAAATGTACATTTCCCGACCGCGGTAGCCGAGCGGTTAGCATTGCGTACTGCAACTCGGAAGGCATGAAATAAAGCTCCTCATAAGAAAACCATCAGCCGTTCGGAGGCGGCTTAGTATAAACTGTAGGTCCCTCTATTTGTTGGAAAAACATCAAGATCACAACGTGGAGGAGAAGCTCGGCCGAAAATCGCTTCAGCCGTTATAAAGCGCCAATTATATTATATATAATATTTCTATAAATTTTCTTCAAGGAAAACATTTGTAAGTTGAAGAATTAGATGAATACTCAGATTAAGGGTTTTTTAATTGAAACTCCTTTCGGAAAACATTAAGATGTACACGACCTCTCATTGGAGGAGCAGTTTGGCCGTGGGCTGTCAAATGCCAATCATATAAGTAAGCTACCCCTGTGGTGTTTACATACAAATATGTAAACTATTAAAAATAAAAAGTGTGTTTTACCTCTCTCTGTCGACTGCCGGGCACTTTACTTTTTTACTATCTCCATATATGTTCTGCTTTGTTTGCAGTTGTTGTCTTCCACCAGATATAAGTTTTAGCCAATCGATGCCTACTAACAGCATGGAGGGCAATCTCTTTGTTGTGAGCAAGAATTGACAAGGCAAACGTGTTTATTAAGCATTTTTAACTTCCTTGGAAAGTCTGTTCTGAAAGCACAAAATCTTTAGTTCGACCATCGCCTATCTCATTGAATTAGGAATAGTTTAAATAATACTCTTGTCCCACTTTCCAGTTCAAATAGAATATATTTTAATGATGAGGCTAGATCAATTAAAAAGGCTTGTAAAATTGTAAATTGCGCGACGTTCGCCCACTAAAATTGTTGTAGCTTTTGAAATATGTCGAGTAGACCGTTGAAATTTCGGAGACATATTCTTGATATTCTTGGAATAGATTTAAGAAATATACTATTTTTTCAGTCTCTACCTCCTTTTGAGAAGGTAAATTTCCTTCATAAGCTTTCATGCGATTTTTATAGCAAATACTTGGTCTAACCGAAAAATTACAAAATATGTATTTGATTTAAGTTTAACATAAACTAAATTAAATGTAGGTACTTATTATAATCAAAATGGCTTACAATCGAAACGAAATGAAAATCGAGTGGTAGAATGTTTTCGAAGGATCCAATATCCTCAATTGTTCAATGGCTGCCGCGGTCAGGAGTCAAATTCTGGCACGAACAACATTCAAAAGTTAAAGAAAATTACTTTAAATAAAAAAAGTTAAATTTTCTAATTGCGGCCGAGCGGTTCAACCTAACCAAACACCTCTGTTTGATTTTGGGTCTGTTTTCATGCCGGCAAAAAAAAATGTTGTACTCAGCGTTAGTTGAAATGAGTTCATTTTGCTTTAGCAGAAATTTTATGAAGAGATTTTTCACACTCGCTAATATAAAAGTAAATAAATAAATAAATAAATTATATTACTTTTCCCCATTACTTAAACTTTATTGTTGTATTCAGGGTTAATTGATCTTTTATTGTTTTGAAAACAAACAAATACAAATGATTAAATTATTGTTTCGTACAAAAGATTTTTGGGTTTTATTTAATTAATAATGAAGGTCATGTATAAACAGAATTAGGTTATGTTTATAGTAACTATTTATATTATATATTTATGTTGGTTTTGGAATTTATTTATCTACCTACCACTGCTATTGCTTCTATGAAAAGCTAATAAAATTCATTTTTAATCTTTTATCTTGCAGGAGAACTCAGCTTGCGTGTAAGTCCAAAATATCAAATATTAGTAATTAATTTATATTTAAATTAAAATAAAAATATTCTGTGGAAAATGATTGCATTAGTTTTTTCGTACTTTTTAGTGGAGAGTAAAAAAATACATTAAATTCACGATAATATGGGATTTAATTCAGTGCCTTAAACTGGCTCACAAAAAATTTGTCAAAATAATAATAACACTCTTTATATTTCTTAAAAAACTCACACACTCGTACATTAAAATGGCAAAAGCTATAATTTGTGTCAGACCGTTATCCATTGTCAGTCCACCAGCACAACCGATTGTCGTCGTGCAAACAAAAGCTGCTAAGAAATGTGATTGACAAGTAGTTTCTCCTTTCGTTATACTTATTCAGTGACGGCGACCGACTTGTGGCCTGATTGGTAAATCATTTGCTATTGTTTTCCTTGCCACAATTCTGTCACTCGCCGCCAACAGCTTTTTAACGAGCAAATTTTCGAGAGATAAGTGTGCATGCACATGGCATATGTACACTCGCATTACACACATACATACATAAATATGCTGGTGTTGAAGGCTCTGGAATTGTGGTATTTTCAACATATACTTTTGACATTCGCAATCTGTATACGTGCGGGTGTTGAAGTGATATGCCTTCAATAGAGAAAGGATTGTCAAAATTAAAGCGTATAATACAATAGTTGAAAACTAAAACTGAAATTTAAAACGAAATCAGAAAATTTGAAGAATACGGCCAAAGCTCTGTACTTCTGTATCTTCAGTTCAAAGAACAATTCGCTTGAAGTCTGTTCTGAAATGACTTTTTTTAGTCAGATTATAAATTATCTCATTGTCTTAGATGTCCACATGCTTGGTACCAACTTGATTCTTTTGCTTTCAGACTTTCTTTTGCCTCCTGTCTTATTGTAAGCACTCCGAAGTTCTTGCTGTACGAACGAAAGGCTTTGATGGCCTTTGGCTATATAAATATGTATTATCCACGACCATTTTTATTCAAATATGTTGACTTAAAATATACTAATGTGGTTTCGTAGCCTGAATGGCCCCTTATCTGTGGTAGAGTTCAGTTAACAGACGTTACTCCGCTAGTCTCAACGATATTCTATAGGATGTTATTATGTACACAATTTCTTTGTAACCACTGAAATGGTTTTCTAATGAGCTTCTCCTCTAATTTGTAGATTTTACGTCTTCATGTTTTTCTAACAAATGGAAGGACCTATAGTTTATACTAAGCCGCCTCTGAACGGCTGATTTTTGAGAGAACCTTTTATTTTATGTCAGAAATCCTGCCGAGGGACGATCGCAATTAGAAAATCCAACTTAATTTTTAATTGAAATTCATTCTCTATAACATTTTAGATGTTAGTATGACACCAGGACTTGAGCCAGAACTTTCCACACGACTATCTCCAGTTCCCAATTTAATTTAACATATACTAAAGTCATCTAGTAATTACAACAAAATGTTAACTATTCGATTTTTAATGAGAAATCTAAAAAGAACATATATAAAATAATATACGAACAACTTTGTATCGAATAAAGTAATATTCATACACTTACTAGTTTTTTTATTAAATAATTCCTTGAATTTTCCACATTCATTCAATTTATGTTACTCATACGCCGTGGTGGTTTTTTCTATTTTCCCATTTCATATATAGCTCAAATGTAATAATTTTGGTACTAATGTTCATATAAAATTTATGTTTGTTTGTATTTGCACGCACATGTGTTTGATAAATTGCTTGTCATAGTGAATTTAGCAAACAATTCATATCAATTAAAAATCACTCATACGACAGGTTGGTTAATTGAACTTTTTTTCTCAGGCTTTCAATTATTCTTACGTTCTTGTGCCGTAATGTAGAATTCATTCATTGAAAGTTAGTGTTTAAGGATTATTTGATGATCATATTTTTTTATAAAAATTTAACTGACTTTCTGTGTACATTAAAAACTACATTTTCCTCAGTAAATTTCCCTAAGAACAATATTTTGAGCCTGTAGAGCTCTTCCTTCGAAATCGATTATTATATCTAAGAGTGGAAACGAGAATGAAGTATTAATTGTGGCAGTAAAGAAGAACAACAAACTAATTTTGCATAGTTTATTGAACAAAAAAATTTCATTGAATATTTTATGAACTCACTTTGAAATCTACGACATAGAAATCCCTGGCTCTTACTACCACAAGCAATAATTAACGACAACAACGACAACGTTGAATATTTAGCGCTAATTGCAAAATGGATGAATACAAGCCACCAAATGCAAAAATTCAGGTCAGTTCACCTTGTAAATACATACATACATACTCGTACTTAAAACTGGTGCGCTTTTTCTCGACTTTCTTTTATGAACGTTAACGGTACAAGATAAAATTTAAATTAAATTAAATAAAACGAAACAAATCAAAATTACAGTAAAAATAAATAAAAAAAAAAATAAACAAAACAAGGAAGAAGAGAAAATTGAAATAAAAAATAATAAAATAAAATTATTTTAAACAATAAACAATAATATAAAATAGAATTAAAAGAAATTTAATTCAAATTAATTTAAATAAAGTAGCATTAAAATAAAATAAATCTAAATAAAATACAAAACCTATATTATAATTTAAAGAAAAAATAAGAAATTAAACAAACAAAAAATAAAATAAAATAAAATAAAGAAACAAAAAACCAAAATGAAATAACAAATATTAAACTTAAATCAAATAAGACAAAAGTAAAACACAACTAAATAATGTACTTTGTTATACCATTCCAATTTTATTTTCTTTAACTATGTAAAGTATCAAATAACTGTAAAACTCGCCCTGCTTATATTTGTTGTGTCTGAACCTCAGGTTTCACCGATTTGTCGCCATTTTGTATAAAATTTTTTTACATTTTTTCTAGTTTCATCAAAACAACCAATTCAAAGCAAACAACAACAAACAAGTAGAGAACAATATCATGTTTTTATTTCAACGATTTTGTTGTTTTTAGGTCAGAAAACTTAGTACGCATTAAATGGGCAATAATTGAAAATCGATTGATGATTGCACAAACAAAATTTGTCAGCAGGTCAATACACAACCATCCGTTTGCACAAGAAAGAGAACGATTTTCAAGTGAATTCTATTTAATAATGCAGAAAATTATAGTGCATGCGTTGTCTGGGTACATATTTGCAGTAGAGTTGGTGCATGAGTATGCGTACAAAATATTAATAAATTTTTATACATTCAAAAATAATTTAAGAAAAAAAAAAATTTAATAGAAAAGAAATTAGAAGAAAGCTTAATTATTTCATCGATGAATGATTTCAATGAATTTTTCAAAGGTATTAAGCAAATATGTTTGTAAAATTAAACAACTGGGCATTATTTAATAGCAATTTCAGACTAAGTGCTTAGCGCAGCTGAGCTAAAGAAAAATTTAAAAATAAAATTGAAAAAATGCAACAACTGCAACCCTGCTCACCAAAATTGCAAACAACTTGAAACTAGCGACGATATTTGCTTGCCTGGTCCGTTTACTTTGTACCCCACCACCTTTAACTTTCATTCAGGTTACTTTATAAGCATAAAATTTCAAATAATAGCTTCACTATCACGGTAGGGGGTGTATGACTCTGCTAGAACTCAGCCATGCCCCTAAATCTAAGCTACGATTCTTGCGCCGCCTAAAAACTAACCAAAGGAAAACGATGCCAATTTAAGGTTAATATGAGTTCAATTGACTATTAAGCTACAAGCGTTTGTTTTTGAAAAAAAAACTCAGCCACCAATTATCTGTCGCCGTTTTCTGCAATTAAATTTCTATTACAATATTTTTGTGAGAATACACCCCGGGGCGCCCTAATGTGTACACGCGCTGCATTAATCCACATTTGCATATATGCATACATGCATAAATATGTATATTTGTTGCTTGTAAAAGCAATTCCCCTGGGACTGACTTTAACTGTCACGCCGCCTTGAGGTTAATGACATTTACTGGTAATTGCGTTGTCATTCAATTAGTTAATTATTTAAATTGAAATTGCCAGTGTACGCTTGTTCTAAGACACAATAAACTGTTAGATACACATACTCGCTTAAGGGTGTGGTAACTGCCACTATTAAGTCAGTGGAAGGTTCCAAGGAGAGTCACAGGGATTATATTAATGGAAATTTAGCTTCCATCGTGAAAGTCATTCATCAGTCTATTATACATATAACCAGCATTGAAACAGAACACTTTTACTTAAAAAGTAATAATCACCTTAATGTTACACATTTTTAAAATTCCAGTTAAAAAAACATTTCTCAAAAGTTCTGTCTAAATTCGTCAAGAGACGGTTCCATAACTTTAGAACAACAATAGAGTGAAATAAGCGGCTGAGGCGCTAGCAGTGCATTCCACGAGCCAGATCCCAATGCATTCCATTCACTTTGTCCAAGACAAGGCAAGAATAAACAAATAAAAAGTAAAAAAAATTGTGTTTGTATTCATAATTCCTTTATAACATTTATTTATTTATTCAAAGCTTCCAATAGTGAGCATTAGACAAATTCCCTTTTGGACATTTTGCTTGCAAGAAATAACTGTAAAAATTCCCTGAAGATAATTAAGCAAATCGACCAACATGATTGTTACGAACTGTATGCCATCCAAACTAGATGCTCTAATATTTGGTCCAAAGAAAATATCCTCCTTCAACTTTTTCACCAGGAGGGTTGGAAACTTTGATATTGGGTATTAGGAGAAGGCTTCAAAGTTCCATGCTGGACGTTGTTCTTTCAGTCTCTACCATCTGATAGTAAAAAATCAAGAGAAATTGATAAATTCAGCTTGATGACCGTGTAACACACCCAAACTTTTGAAATCATAACTCGCTTGCCAACCGTGGGATTGATATTTGTATGGACTGACCGACAGAATCGGAAGCCTATAAACCGTTATTGTGAATAAGAACTGTCCTAAGTCTTTTGAAGAATCTGTATAATCACACAAATATGAGTT